CCCCCCCCTCAGGGAGCCGCTGGAGCTCCCAGCCTTGGACTTCACGCTGTGGGCGGAGCTGCTTCCGGACACGGTCCTCTGCAGGGGCTTCTTCCTGGTGGCGGAGGTCTTCAGGCTCTTGTCAGTCTCTGGGTCAGTCATACAGGCACTGGGCTGGGGGGGCAGAGGGGGCAGGTCTTTGATGGGGGCCGGAGGCGGGTCGTGGAGATGCCTGGGCTGGCTGGCCATGAACAGGCTGCTTGTGGGGCAGTCCTCCGGGTCTGGAGACTGGCTGACAGAGGTGGGCGGGGCTTCCTGGGAGTGGTTGTTGTTGTCCACCAGGTCTGGAGGGGGGCCGGTCCCTGGGCTGGGACTGGTCTGGGGCTGGTCTCCCGGGGTTCTGGGGTGCTGGAACTCACAGGGGGACACCAGACACAGGTCCACGTCGTGTGGCTCGTCAGAGGGGAGCTCGGCCAGGCCGTGCACGTGGGCCCCGTCCCCAGAGGGGCCGTTGGACACCGACAGAGGGTCATCGGCCTCTGTGGAGGTAGGCGAGCTGGACTCGGGGGGCCAGGAGTCCACCATCATGTCCTGGTCTGGACTGGAATGCTTATCCTGAGAGAGTGAGGTCCCCACCTGGTCCTGCAGGCCCCCCGGGCCCCGGACCCCGTCCCCGCTGGGGGCAGAATCCGCCGGGGAGACCAGCTCCATGGTCTCCCCAGGGCTCCCACAGACCTCGGCCCCAGCCCCGTCTGCTGGGGGGAATGTGGTGGGGGCCGGGTCCCCGCCGGGTGGTCTGGCCCGGTCCGGGTCTGCTCCGGCCTGCATTTCATCACAGTCCTCCTGGGTTCTTCTAGACTTGTTCCCATTCCTGTCCTGTGGGCGGGGCCTCTCAGAGCCGGCCGGCGGGTCCTCGGGGGGGGGGGCCTTGGACCGGCCGGCCTCCCTCTGGCCGGGCTGCTCCTTCGGACCCGTCTTCCCCTTCGTGGCTTTGCTCGGGGCCTCTTTCTTTGGAAGAGTCCCGTCCTTTTTGACCATCCCGCTTTTAGCGGGGGGCTTTCTCGTGTCAGCGCTCGGCCCCGGGGCCACATTCAAGGCTCCGCCCACCTTCTTCCCCTCTTTCCCTGCTGGCTTGGCCGGCTTCTTCTCTTCCACTCTTTTGGTTTCGGGTTTCTGCTCTCTCTTTGGTTTTGTTCCGACCGGGTCCTTCTTCTTCTCGCCGGGCTCCTCTCTCCTTGGCACCTTGTCATCCTTTTTTTTCACTTCTTTCTTGTCCTCCTTCACTGCGTCTTTCTTCGGGCTGACCTTGTCGGCGGCTTTGGCCGGCCTGGGTTTAGGCTCCGCCTCCTTTCTTTCTCTGGCCGAGGACTCCCCCCCCGGCTTGGCCCTGGCGTCTGGCCTTTTGGCCTCGGCTCGCCCGGCCTTGTCCTTCTGCCCGGCGCCGTTGGGCCGCAGCTCTCTGGACTTGAGGCTCTCCCGGCTCTCGGCCCGTTTGGGCTGCGTTGCGGTTTTGGGGGCTTCCAGGTCCTTCTGGCAGGCCGACGGCTGCTTGAGGAAGTCCAGGTGTCTGAGCTTGTCCAGCCCGTCCAGGACTCTGCTCTGCGGCGTGCACCCGGGGAAAAGCACCCGGACGATGTTTTCCAGTGGGTCAGCGGGGTGCCACACCAGCAGGGCGCAGATGGAGACCAGGCACTGGAGCGGCAGCTCGCCTTCGCCCGGCGCCGCCCCCCCGTCAGGCGCAGCCCCCCCGTCCGGCCACAGCTGCATCAGGGCCTCCAGCTCCTTGCTCCCCCGGACGGGGTTCAGCACGTACAGCTCCAGGCGGCCCACGCCCATCTTCTGGAACAGGACCAGGGGCGGGACGCTGGGCCCGGGGGGGCGGCTCAGGGGCGTGGGGGCGATGGCGAGCTGCTGCAGGCGCTGCAGGGCGAGCGCCGCCTGGTCGCAGCTCCGCAGCCGGCCGGGGTCCGGCGCCAGCCCCCGCAGCCTGTCGGGGGCGTTGAGGAACACCACCCCCAGCTCAGGGGAGACCAGCCTCCGCCCCCAGTCCTCCTCGGACCCGGCCCCCCCGGGCCCCCGGTCCTGCTCGCACAGCTTCCTGTGCAGCAGGCTGTTCAGGCCCGGCAGGTTGTCCAGGCCGGCGTGGGTCAGCAGCACCGAGTCCACCCGGTCCAGGTGGCGCACCAGCTTCCAGAAGCAGGCCCGCGGGTCGGAGCCGCCGTTCACCAGCACGTTGAAGCCGTTGACGGCGAAAAAGGCCGAGTCCCCCCGCCCCCCGGGGAAGATGTAGCAGCAGGGCCGGGACAGCTTCAGGAAGCCCACCGTACCGGGCGGCTCCAGCAGCTGGAAGGGAGAGTCCGGCTCCAGGGACTCGGACAGGTACTCGGTGACCTCCTGGAGACCCTCCATCTGGGGGAGCACCGCGGGGGGGTTGACCCGGATGGAGAGGACGCCCTGCAGGGGGTGGCTCTGGAGGTCCCAGTCCTTCCAGAGGCCGTGGGGGGGGCAGCTGATGGTGAGCTGGGCCTTCAGAGCCGGGTCAGCAGAACCCAGGAGCTCCCCGACCTGCACATGGAGAAAACCCAGGTTCGGGTTGGAGTTCTGCAGGTTCTGAGTCCTCCCACAGCCCCGACCCCTCTCACCTCCTCCTCGGCCAGGATCTGGGTCAGGTCTCTGAGGCAGAACCGGCCCTGCTGCAGCACGATGTCCCCGCTGTCCTCCACACTCTGACCGGCCAGAACCAGAAGCTTGTGCCGGGCCGGGTCACACACCAGCCGCCGCACCTGCAGCCGCCCGGGAAACATCAGAACCGGCCGGACCACCACCAACCGGACCAGCGGTTCGGCTCGGTCGGGACTTTGGACTCTCACCTCTGAGCAGACAAAGTCGTGGGCCGGGTTCACCAGAACCTGGGCCTCCAGGAGGTCCCCGGCGTGCTGCAGCGTGCGCTGACCTGAGGGGGACAGCAGGGTGAGGTCCGGGGCCCGGTGGAGCCTCCAGAACCACGCACAGATAAAGACTGTTTTCCTGCTCCTCAGAAAGCAGATGAGGTCATTTAGCCAGGAGTGTTGCTGCTCAGCTGGCTCTCAGCTGACTGCGTTCCCATGTCTGAAAGCAGGAAGCTGAACGCCACCAGGCCCCGCCCTTTAACACAGGCCCCGCCCTTTAACACAGACCCCGTACTTTAACACGGTCCCCGCCCTTTAAAACCAGACCACCAGCTATATTCAGCTTAGGACTCTTATACTATAACCATGTATTATTATTATTACTATTATATTATGATGGCTTCTTTATATCTAATATATTCATTTTTTTGGAAGACAGAACTTGATAACATCTGTGCTATACCCTTTACAGAGTTATGTGACAGAATAGACCCAAATGCTTTTATTTATTCATATATTTTTTTTTTTTTTGTCTGTTTTACTCTGTTTTTCTTTGTGATGCTAATTGCCTGTTAATTTGCATTTAAGGCAATAAAGTTCAAATACAAAGAAACCCCTGAAGCTCAGAACAGAACCAGGGGTCGGTGAACAGCTCAGGTTCCTCACCTGGGACGTCCTCAGACACGAAGGCTGAATGTCTGGAGACGAAGAGCTTCAGCTGCTGGTCCAGAGCTCCAACGTCCAGGTCCACGGGCCAGCAGCGCACACCTGCAACACACAGGTCACATGATCAGAGCTCCACGGGAAGCCAAACCCGGCCTGTCAGCAGAGGGGCCTCCTCCTGAGAGCCGCCTGGGTTCCAAGTGATGTTTCTACTGAAGAGTGAAAACAGAAGAAAAGTCCCAAGACTCAGAGCTGTGGGTCAGGTCACATGATCAGAGTGTCAGGACTCAGAGCTGTGGGCTGTCATCGTGTAATCAGATTTAACCAAAGCTAACACGCTGATACAATCGGCCTGATTCTTCGCGTCCCATGACTGCAGCATCCTCAAAGAAATGGATGATAAGAGTAAACACATCAGACAGGAGGAGGCTTTCTCGGCCAGAGTGAGGCCTCCTCTGCCTCCTATCTTTGTCGGATGTTTCCGGTGCAAACAGGAAGTTGTGATATTTAGAAACACAACTTCCTTTTTGGGTGAGAAACTGACCACACACTGCTGTCTCTGTGCCTCTGTGAGGACACAGTGTGGCTCCAAAAACCAGAACCAGAGGTTCTGAGGAAGTCCCCCTCAGCTGGAGAAACCAGCAGAAACGGCGGGTCAAGACGGCCCAAAATGGCTCAGCTGAAAGGTTTCTGTCTCTGAGGAAGCCCAATGGTTCTGGTTCTGCTCAAATGATCAAACCAGAACCCTACTGTGTCTCTGTGGGCGGGGCCACCCCTGACCCACCAGAGCTGGACCACATGTTCTGTTGTAAGCTAGGGACACAGAACCGGGTCAGAACCAGGGCGGGGTCCCCTGGTCAGTGGGATCAAGAGGTCCTGACTTCTACTGGTCATCACCGGCCCGGTTCTGGTAGCCTCAGACTGAAATGGAGAGAGACAGAGCGCACAACATCCGGTGATGGATTTTCAAAGTAAAATCTCCGGAGCAGAAAGTTCGGTCAAAGAGGGCTTCGTGGCCCCAAACTGGGTCGTCTACCAATCGAACCACCACGATGGGAACACCAGACTGGACCCTCAAGAACAGATCCGGCTATGATATGATTTGTTTCTGGTATTTTCGGAACCAGAACCAGATGTTTGCGAGGGTTTGAATGAACGAACCAAATAGGAATAAACGTTAATAAACGTCTTAAACTTTGACCCGAACTGGTCTGGAAGCTAATAAGCATGCTGACGATGGCCGGACTGAAGTTTTACCGAAATCGAGGGGCAGTTCAGATGTCCAAAATACCCCAAAATGTGCCGATTACCGCCTCAGAACTCTGAGCAGGACCCTGAACCCCCCACAGGGACCCGGACAACCAACATCCCCCACCTCCACCTTTACTGTGAAGGGCCGGCCAACATCCCGCCTGAGCTCCAGTTCGGTTCTTCTGACCAACGGGCCGGACTCACCTGAGTCTATCTGCCCCAGCAACTGCTCCAGGAGGCCGGCGGAGCGCAGCGCCCCCACCACCACCAGCACCGAGTAGCCCGCGGGCTGGCCAGGGCCCGGACCGCCGCCCCGCTCCGTCGCCATCATGGCATGGACTGTCCGTGCCTACGTCACCGGTGTGGTCACGCACAGCCACGCCCTGGCGACGAAAGAGGCGGGAACTGTGGTCAAAATGGCGGCCAATCAAAACGAGACGTTAGAAACGGGCCAATCAGAAGAAGAAGAGGCGGTGATGAACGCCTCTGAGGAAAAGAGAACTAACGGCAGTTAGGGTCAAGGGTTTTCGAGATTTTTAAGATAAAATCAACCGAAATGAGGGCTAACACGTGAAAACTATTGAACTTTTTGGTTACGTTGTAAAGAAATTCACAATGTTTACACGGTGGAGCCCTCGAAGCCATAGAATGATTAAGGAGCATCTACAAAAATAGAAATTAGCTAGTTTTACTCACTGTGTAGGTCTAAACTTTAATTTTCTTGTAAGAACGTTAAAATGACGTCCGTCCTTTCTTCTCTTCTGGATGGGTGGTGTGTTTGTTTGCAATCAGTACATCTAATTGTTGTTGGCAGTGTTCAACTTCGGGATATCCGACGGTTGTGAGAGAGCCCAAAGTGCCTCCGTGTCTCCAACATGGCGGCGCCGTTACCCGGCAGGTGCGGCTTCTTCGTGGAGAAGAAGAAGCGATTCTGTAAAATGATAGTCGGAAAAGGGAAACGCTTCTGCGGAGAGCACGCGACCATGGTGAGTTCAGGGACACGTGTTGAGTTCACGGAATGACAGACTCTTGTACTCTGGGTCTCCAGCACGGCCCCGCTCCCCTTCGCGGGGACTTGGAAGGAACAGTTTTGGCCCCCAGCGGACCCCGTCCTCAAAGCGGGGCAGAGCGCGTGCAGAGTAGTCACACCGAACAAAAACAGCAGCCAATCCCCCCCCCCCCCCCCCCAAGCTAAAAACATGAGTCCATTTCCGTTCAGCTGAGCAGAGCAATTCAGATCGATCCAGGTGATCAGTTGGGGTCGCGGGGGGCCAGCAGCTGTGACCATGCGCCTCTGTGTTGTTTCCAGGAGGATGGTGGTGGCAGCAGGAGGATTGTCTGTCCTCTGGACCCCAAACAGTGAGTCTGTCTGGTTATTGATCAGCAAAGCACTTCTATTGGGGGTAATTAATCAGCTCAAAGATGAATCACCACAACCACTCTGTTTCAGCACCGTGACCGAAGACAAACTGGACAAACACCTGAAGAAGTGCAACTCCAGGCAGAGACCCCGACCCGTGAGACCCAGCACACACAACACTCACACCTTCACTTATGGCTGCTTCCTGACCCCTCAGCTGCTCTGAATCTATTTCAGGTCTACTTTGTGGAGAACATCAACTCCAGAGCAGCTGAGGGAGAGCAGGCTCCTCCACAGGTAACATCTCACCTGCTGCGGGGTCATGACCTGTGTTATGATGGTGATGGTTATGGTGATGTTCCTGTTTCAGCTCAGTCTGTGTGAGCGCAGCAGGTCAGAGTTGGAATCTCTGGTGGCCAAACTGAAGACAGCGGTTGAAGGTGAGACACCATGGGGCTAACAGCTGGGTGCTAATAACTGTGGCCTAACAGCTGGTGGCTAAATGGTAGTAGCTAACAGCTGGTGGCTAAAAACTGGGGCCGAACAGCCGGTGGCTAACAGCCGGTGGCTAACGTGTCCCTGTGTCAGGGCTGCAGTTTGACGTGGACGACGGCGTCCTATCACACGCCGTCCTGCAGGAGCAGCTGAGCGACCCGAAGAACGGAGACTCCGCCCACAAACACCTGAGGCAGCAGGTAGGGGCAGAGAGGTGCTCTGTGGGGCTCCGGCAGGCAGAGGCCTCGCACAGCGTCTGACCCTCTCCCGTCCCCAGTCCTCCATCCTGGGCCACCTGGAGCAGCTGGGGCTGCTGGGAAGGGGGCGGTGCTTCGTGGAGTTCGGAGCGGGTCGTGGAAAACTGTCCCACTGGATCCACGAGGCCCTGAAGGCTGACGGGGGTCAGGGGGCGGAGGAGGAGCTGCAGATCCTGCTGGTGGAGCGCAGCAGCACTCGCTTTAAGGCAGGACACACTCGCTGCATTTGGGATGATTAAACAGGAGGGAATGTGTGGAGCTAGAACTCAAGTCTGGGGACGTCCCCATCCAGCTTTCTGATCCCGATCCCGGCCTATCAGAGCTTGTACTAAAGTCTAAAGTTATTTAGCGTTTTTTTAAACCATATATTTTATTAAAAAAAGGTAGTACAGGGCATTTAATTGCGTTTAAATACAATAAATTTGTCTTAATTTTGTTTACCAATCAAATCAAAACCCATCCACCCACCCATATATATATATATATAAAACAAAACAAAAAGAAGAAAAAAACACAGACAACCAAACAAAAACACACATTGTTCTGCAAGTTTAAAGTTATTTATCTACTTACTGAGTCAGACTCATGTTGAACAGGGATTTACTCTGATAACAACTTAATGGTTAGGACACAGACCTGTGGGTACAGATGCTAATGCTAATTGGGATGGGACTTAAATAAAAACTTGATCTGGAGTCTGGATCTGTGTTTTCTCCTACCAGCCGATACGCAGTTTTTTGCAAATATCGGATCCAGTTATTGGATCGGGACAGGCCTACTCAAGTCCAAAAGTCCAGAACCCTGCATGTCAACCAGAACCAGAGTCTCTGTTTTAACCTTTGTTCCGTGTCCGTGGCGTCACCGGGCTGTGATGTCACCGGTCAGCTGGTCAGCTGGTCAGCTGGAGCCTGGTCTGTTGCAGGTGGACGGGAAACACCAGGACGGCAGCGTGCGCTTTGAGAGGCTGCAGGTGGACATCCAGCACCTGGATCTGAGTAAGCAGCGGACAGCCGGCCTGCCAGATGTGCGTCTCCAGGCTAACAGCTGGCTGAACTTTTCCAGGTCGGGTTCCCCTGCGGCAGCGCGGCGTGCTCCCATTGGTCGGCGTGGGGAAACACCTGTGTGGAGCCGCCACAGGTGAGACCCGCCTTCTATTGGATGACAGTTTAGCTCTAAAACCACCCAGAGAACTAAGAACCAGAGCCGCCCCGTTTTCCATGCTATCCCTGAGAGAGCGCTGGGCCATATTAGAAAAAGTTATATTTCCTTTTTTATATCACAATATGAACTAAATCTACTTTAAAGCCCCAGAAATGGCTCTAAAATCCCCCAAAACTGCTTTAAACCCCCCCAAAAAACAGCTTTAAAAGCTGGTTCTGCTTTGTCCTTAGACCTGGTTCCTCTCTGTCCTCAGACCTGGTTCTGCTCCCTCAGACCTGGTTCTGCTCTGTCCTCAGACCTGGTTCTGTTCTCTCAGACCTGGTTCTGTTCTCTCAGACCTGGTTCTGCTCTCTCAGACCTGGTTCCACTCTGTCCTCAGACCTGGTTCTGTTCTGTCCTCAGACCTGGTTCTTCTCTCTCAGACCTGGTTCCTCTTTGTCCTCAGACCTTGTTCTTCTCTCTCAGACCTGGTTCTGCTCTCTCAGACCTGGTTCCTCTCTGTCCTCAGACCTGGTTCTGCTCCCTCAGACCTGGTTCTTCTCTCTCAGACCTGGTTCTGCTCTCTCAGACCTGGTTCCTCTCTGTCCTCAGACCTGGTTCTGTTCTGTCCTCAGACCTGGCTCTGCGCTGCCTGTTGGACACACCTGGACTGGAGCCGGAAGCCGAGCCGCCCCACAAGCGCCTGAGGCCCTCAGAACCGGGCCAGCCCCGCCCTGCTGAGGGTCCGGACCCCGGTGCTGGGCCGGTTCTGGGCCTGGTGGTGGCGCTGTGCTGCCACCACCGCTGTGAGTGGCAGCACTACGTGGGCCGGCCCTTCTTCCAGCAGAGGGGGCTGGGCGCCGCCGAGTTCCACGCCTTCTGCCGCATGTCCAGCTGGGCCACCTGCGGGCTCAGACCCACCAATCAGGACGCCCCATCCCAGGAGCCGGCCAATCAGAGACCAGATGATGAGGACCATGAACCCGTGGAGGAGACGGACACTGTAAACAGGTGAATTTTGACCAGCCAGCTAACAACTCTGACTCAGGGTTAGCTAACATCTGTGGGTTGGCTTAAGGGTCGGCTAACTAAAAAGCTGTCATCTATCTAACAAATGAGTTAATTTTGAGTTAACTTATGGATGACTCGTAGAGAGCCAGCAGCTGTGAGTCGCCTAACATAAAATAAATTTGATTGGATTTCTTCATTTATCATCTTGTAACAGGATATGTCAATGTTTTACAATTACATAACTCATTAGCTTAGATGGAACAAGTCCAGTTAGCCCAGATCTAGTTCCACAAATTTTACATTTTACAAATTTTAATGTTGAGTATGTCTCTTTTTGCCCATTTTATTGCTGAATACGAGTCTTTTTACACCTTTTGATGCTGAATACGGCTCTTTTTGCGCATTTTATTGCTGGATGTGTCTGTTTTGCCCGGTCAAAGCTGACATGCTCAGCCTAAAGGTGACCAGGTGAGTGTGTGGGCTGTGTGTAGCCGTCCCTCAGTGGCCGGTGATGGCTCTGGTGCTCTGTCTGCAGCTTCCTGTCGGCGGCTGAGCGGCAGCAGGTGGGGCGTCTCTGCAAACGGCTGATCGACGGCGGCCGGTGCCACTTCCTGAGCAGCCGGGGGTTCAGCAGCAGCCTGAGGCGCTACGTGGGTCCGGAGGTGACTCTGGAGAACGTCCTGCTGACCGCCGTGCCGGTTCCGGGTCCGCCTCCTAAGGCGGACCAGAGCTTGTAAAACCCTTCATTAAAGTGAGAGTCTCCATCAGAACCTTGTGAACTCGGTGTTCAGTCTCTGAACGTGTTTCTACAGAAATGCCACCCGGCTTGATCCAAACTGTTCTGGCTCTGGCCGGGCTGCCTCCCAAGTCCCAGAAGAAGAGCAGAGCGGCGGCGTGCGTCACTCTGCTCTCTGAAACCAGCAGAGGCAGGGCTACAGGGGAGGGGGCTGGTCCTGGTTAGTGTCTGGTACTCACGGCTAGGGTTGTCACGATACTAAAATGTTCAACTGGATACCGATACTCAGGAAAAGACCCCAAAATTTAAGAAAATGTATGAATTTTGTGAGAAATAAATAATTTTTGGTTTAACTTGTTTGGACTTATTGTACAAACCTATTTAACATCCACTCTTTTAACATAATATTATGGATAGAGTTTAATTCATTGTTTGCCAGATTCATTTCACTAATTTTAAATAAATGTCTATATTGCCATGAAGCAATTAGAATTTTCTTGCCTGGGTTCTTCCTATTGGTGACCTAAGCAAAATGGCCGACTTGGATGTGGGGGAGTTGGATATCCATCCTTGGCTTCCTGCAGTATGTTGGCGTGTTATTTAGGGCCATTAGCCGCAGCTAGCAATTCAAGGCTAACGTCACGTTAATGATCATAAACAAATCAGAGAGAATCGTATCCGGATACAACGTTTTAGTATCGACACTTTTTTGAGTATGGATACTTTGGACACCCCTATTAACGGCCCACAGAGTGCACGTTGAGCACGGCGTACGCTCGCTTGCGGGCCTCCCGGATGTACGCCAGCATGAAGTCGCGGCCGAACATCTCGCGGTCGTCCTCGTCCTCCTGGGCGCCGCTCGGCGGGGGCAGCGCCACCTCCAGGGTCAGGGGGTTGTCCCGGAAGTTGACAAACCTGTTCCCAGAGAGCAGAGGCCGGGTGAGAGCCCACGCGGGGAGGGGGGAGGGTCCCACCTGGGCGGGGGCCCACCTGAGCCGGCTCATGTCCTCCATCAGGGGGGGGATGTCCCGCAGCCGGTTGCTGCTCAGCACCAGCGTGTCCAGGCTGGCCATGCGGGCCACGCCGTCCGGCAGCCGCTCCAGCTGGGTCCTCGGGAGCCCCAGCGGGTGCAGGCGCTCCATCCTGAGGGGGGGGGGGGTCACACACCTGGAGTCACACCTGGACCCTCACACACACACACACACACACACCTCGAGTCGCACCTGGACCCTCACACAGTCACTCACACACACACCTGGAGTCACACCTGGACCCTCACACACACACACACACACACCTCGAGTCGCACCTGGACCCTCACACACTCACCTGGACCATACACAAACACACACACAC